TTCCCTACAGCAGAAAGCTTCAGAAAATATTCCAGAGTGCTATGAAGGTATGGCTGACTCTTTGTTAACAATAAGCTGGATTTTTCTGGTAGCCTCTTTGTTTAGGGTCTTTTTACCCTACTTTAATAGTCAAATAACCTAACTATGCTAACAATGCAGGAATTTTGGAGAGGAAGGATTTCTTAGGAAAGTTATGGTAGAATTTGTAGGAATTGCTGTTCCTTTTATAATGCTTAGTAGAAATCCAAATTAAAATTTTATTCAAAAGACTTCAGATGAATCTTTGCATGCCTGCTGGTCTTTCAGTAACTGGTAAAGCTGTCATAGAAATAACACATTGTGCTGTTTGTGTCAAACAGCACCCTGAGTACAGTGAGTTGTGTTTTGGTATTTTAAGCATTCTAAAGAGCCTTCTGATATTTTTACCCTTGTTATTCATTATGTTCCAGGACCAGAACGTGGACCAAGCGTTGATTGCCTTAGTACATCACCAAAAGCTGCATTAGGTAATGATTGTAAAGAGAAGAAGATAACAGCCAGTTTTGTGTACTTAAATATTTAATTGGCACAGAGAATGTATGACTGGGAAGAGATGTGGAGTCCTTAGTCTTGTATCAGTGTACATGAGTTAGTTGAAACATCTGAATTTATATCATAACTTCTTCTTTTAAACAGTCTACAGCTTCTAAGAAATTAATTTCAGTCAGGGTTTTTCTGGTTTTATGTAAGAAGTTATCTTAGCCAACATGATGAATTTAAATGCTACAGGTATTGCACCTAATGAAGGTGACTATTAATGTTTTACACTTCCTGCTAGACTACTTGAAGTTCTGCATTTAAAGTACACAGGTAAAATAGAGCATTGTGCTGTGATTAATGGCGTGTTTCTTATGTTAATCAAAAACATCTTACATGGATACAATGTCTTTCTATCTAGAGCTTCTTCTCCCTTTTCAGAAATCTGAACATAAAAACAGGCTGGAAAAATCTTATATTTGTAGTACAGTATCTTCAGTATCAAGAGTCTTAATTTGCTTAACATTGAAGAGTATATCATACTATAAGTAGGTTAAAAAAAAGTTAAGGAAGTAGAACAGAATAAAATACACCAGGGATTTATAATTTGGAGGATCTTTCTGCAGAAGCAGGTTTCCAAGAATAGAGTATTGATTCTCTCAGCAGGACAGAGGTAGTAAAGAAGTGGTGGTTAGGACTAACTCAGTACTTCAGGAAGTTATGGTATATGTTGACTTGGTTGGGTTTTGGTTTGGTTTTTTGTTGTTTATTGTGGGGTTTTTTGAGAGCTGGAAAAATAGTTTATGTAACACACTTCCTGATTTTCTCAGTTGTATCTTTAGCACATATTCTCAGAAAATGAGCTTTTCTTGTTTGTTTTGAATCTCGTGAGTTCTGTCTTATGTGAAGAATTTCCAACTGGATTTCAGTTTTTCTGTATGTTAGGTGTTGTTAATTGAAAACGTTTCATTGTGGAAGATGTAACATGGCTCAGGGTGGCTGTCAGGATGCCTCACAGGATGTAGTGAGTCCTACTAGAGTCTCATTAAAAAAATCAAGCTTAGGAGTTGTGTCAGACTTTATGCAGAGCAGAATGTAGGTCCATCTCTGTGTTTTCAAGATTTAATGCATAGCATTAAGGCTGAAACTTTCAAGCTTGATGTATAAAGCTGGATTCCCAATACTGTATTTAGACAATTGAGCAAAGCTGCTAAAGCTAGAGATAGAGTATGTTCTGACCTCTGATAATTCTTGTGATTTTGTTTATGATGATTCAAGCATGTTTTACCTGTGTCACTGATGGATTTAAACACAGCAAACACCTTTCTATTCAGGAAACAATTCATCTTGGAAATGGTACAGAATTGGGTGACCCTCTAGTCTGATTGATAATAGCAAGCCCCACATACTTTTTCTGTTTACTAGCAGGTATTTACAAATGAAAACTGAGCTGTGATATTATTCCTATCATGTGTTTGCAAGAGGTACCATATCCTCAGTTACGGGCAATTTCCCACGCTAACTTGGAGATATTCACAGCTCTGTTCCCTGTAACTGTCAGTTTAGCATCTCAGTCTCCTATTGTAGGAATGGTAACACTTCAAGGCATTCAAATAAATGCCCCAAACTATTTTGAGGCTGATATTCTGGAAATTATCTTCTGCAGTTCTGGAAAGCATGGATTTGTATGTTAAGTAATGTACATTTAATCCTTGCAGAGAACACCACCTTCATAAAAAAGAAGCCAAATCAAGCTAAGAAGGGGGTAAGTATATATAAAATTATATTTTAGCTGTATTACAGATCTATGGAAATACGTAGGTTGCAATATGGAGATGTGTCATGTAAGTTAGTACTAAGCAGTACTTGATTGGTAAACAATTTATGAAACTAAAATTGAAATTAAAACCATTTCTATATCAAAACAGCCAATGCTCTGGTTGAAAATAGACTATTAAGGTGAATTTGCTGAACAGGTTACTGTTATTATGTAGTAAAGTGCTTCAGATCTGTGGGTTGTTTTCTTACCTCAGATAAATTCTGTTTGTATGTATATATCTCACAACTGTCTTTCACATGTATACTTGCGTGTCATGTTCTTTGTGCTGTCTGAACCTGAACAGCAGGTGATCTTTTTTAAAAAATTAGTAAAATAAAAATGTCAAAGCATATATTGATGTCAGGATCTGTATTCAAGGTCTCTTTTGTTCTTTTCACAATGCCTGTCTCTACAACTTCACTGATGCCCTGTAACCTTTCTTCTCACACACTGATGCTGGGTTGTGGGCCTTCTTCAGACTTTCACTTAAGTTAGCTGGCGCTGACATATTTTTGTAGCAAATGCTGAAAACATAGGGAGTTCCAGCAGCACTTTTGAGTGGCTAAATATGCATGTGTGATGTAATCTGTCAATACAAGCTGAGTTTGAGACATTAAGATCTGTATTTCTAGAGCAGTCCTCATCTACCATACTGCAGTACAGTATTTGGTTGTATTTATAGAGAATTTGCAGCTACATGTTATCAAATCAAGATAACATCAAGATAGTTTACAGACTTGTTTCTAGATGGGGTCTTAGCACTTTCTTAGGCATCTGGTCTCTGTAAAGAAGGCATGATGAGCATTGAGTATCTCAGAATGATAGTTTCAGGAACCTAAAAACTGCATAAGACAGCACTAGAGAACTCAAGTTAGCTAGGAAAAGCGAGGTTTTGAATATGTGATTCTTGGGGCTCAAGAAAATAGCCCTAATATTAGGCTATTAGGGTGACAATATGTTACAGGGAATCACTTTTATTAAGTCTGAGCTATCTATCGTATGGCAAAAGATCTTGAAGGTTTACTGGAGCAGATGAATTTAGATTGAAACTTTTTCTTTCTTGCTGCCACTAGAGGGCCCTAGCACGCAAGAGGAATTTCTTTGAAGTGGTACATTCAGGTATTTTTCCTTACAGTGAGAATAAAATCGGGTTCACAGATGCACATACTGTTTGTGAACTGTAGTGTCAGAGCTTCTACATGAAGACTTTAAAGCATTGAAAGGCTAAGATAAATGTATTGTGAAAATTTATTTGCTGCAGATGAGGAGTTAAACACACAAGAGACTTAAGAACAGCAATTTCAGTGCTGTGCCACTGTCTGAATCAGCCTAATTGTATCTCTTTATATTTGTAATATTAAGCTTTTAAAAAAATCTTTACTAATCAGAATGAAAGAATATGTATCCCTGTATTGAAGTCATAAGAACTAGAAAGAGCTATTTTACAAGAACGAGTGCAAAACTAGAACTTCTCAAGTGATGTGTTTATCTAAAAACAATTTACAATGCTTTGTCACATGCAAAGGCTAATCATATGGAACACTTATATATTGCTCTCCTACCATAAATCAGTAAATACTTATGCAAATGTTTGTTAAAATATTAATAAATCAATGCTTAATCTTAAGATAACACACTACCACTGGCAAGTGAGAACTAATGCAAGAATCTTTGCCACTTCTAAATATACATTGTGAACTAAGTGAATGAGCACCAAATGGTTCCATTGCAAGAAATTTTATTACATTATTCCTATGCAGCAAGATAATTATTAAGAAACTAAAGTTGTGCTATATGTTGTAATATTTTTTGAACATGCAAACCTCCAAACAATTAAAACTAGAATAGTTTCATCACCCTGTGATGGGTGACTGCAGAGCTAACTAAATTTGTAAGGGTTAGTAGAAGCAGCATGTAGAGGGTCAGAAAATGGGGAAAAAAAAAGAATTGTGGTCCAAATTTTCATTGTTGTTTGCATATATCCCCAAACTGAATGTAGTATTTGCTGTTCATTTCAAAGTTGATTATTGAGTCAGTTGAGGTGGTTGTCTCAGTTATAATGTTGGGGCTTTTCTTTTTTGTTTTTCAATAAATCAAGCTCGGTGCCAAAAAAGGTGGTTTGGGAGCACAAAAAGTGAGCATCCAAAACTTTAATGAGATTCAAAAACAAGCACAAGCTGTAAATAAAATGAAGGAACAAGACAATCTTCACAGCAGTAAGAAAACTGAGAAGGAAGAGCCACTGTAAGTATGAATTTATATATATAGAATTGTAAACCATTAATCCTAATTTCATGTTAATGAAGTAATTGTCAATGTTTTAAATGCTACCAGAGATTGCATGCAAATAAAACTTCAGTTGTTGCTTTAAAAAAAAAAAAAAAAAAAAAAAAAAAAAAAAAAGACTCCAAATGTGAATGAGGTGGGCTAAACAGTATTTCTCCTGTTGCCCTTTTTTTGCCATTAATTAAGTATATGTTTCTACAGTTGATCTACTGTATTTACTGTAGAAATAGCCCTATGCTATTTTAAAAAATAATCTCTGTTATTTAACAAAGAAAACAAGAAGACATTCTACTGATACATATGAATAAAACATGAAATAAATCTAAATCTAAGTATTACCACAGAATACTCTTGCCTCTTGCACTTTCTTTACCCCGTGCTACTTACCTATTTTATCTTATTTTGGTGTAGTGAATTGAATGCTATTTAAAACAGTCTTTGTAAGACCATGGTGAACTTAAATAAAGCTGAATATTTTTGTACTTATTGGGTAAGAATTTCTATGCTGAAGGCAGGGGGTAGTTTATGGCTAGAATTGTCTGCTTAAGTTTCAGCTGCTTTATTCTGCAGCTGCCTTCATTTTCACCAAAATTCTTCAAATATTTTTGTCTGAGGCCCTGAAACTGTTAGTCCATCTTAATAAATAGTCAGCCCTAAAGCACAGATGTTCTTTATTCCTTCCTCTACATTTATCTGCTACATGTTTTTAATTTTTTATGTTTTATTAGTTGTAATAAAAATTAGGCTATTACAAAGTTGATTAGTGTAGACTTTTACTATTGTAAATCTTAACATACACTCATAAATGCTGAGATGTCTAATTTTTATAACCCATTGAGAAATTTTCTGAGTTCTATCATAGTTCAAAGATCACTTGGAGCTCACGGTACCAAGCTCTACAGTCTGTAATCCCCCTGCTCCTTTTGCTCACTTTTATGTATCCTCTGCAGAAATGCAAGTATTGTGTACATCTAAAATTTTAATCACAAGGGCTTAATTAATTTTTCCTGATGTATGTTTACCACAAAGTCGTGTTTCTCAGTGTTTGCCAAAAACTACCAGTAGAAAAACTCAGGGATCAGACTACTAAGTAACTAGTAAAATTATTATTTGAAGTTATTTATTTTTCTTTAATGATACTGTCTTTAATGATGTAATTCAATTTGGAAGAAACTCCCAAGAAGTGCTCCATTTTTAATTTCAATTTATGGATCTAGTCTCAGTAGAGGCAAAATAACTGTATTTCCCTTGAGATGAACTTTTTGGACTTTTTAACTGTAGATGGCACTATGTACCAAAACTGAAGAAGGACAAATACTTTTAAAATGCTTTTGCTCCCACCTAGTTTGTGTAACGGTTTTAATTATAGAAGCTTGAGTAATGAGGTTTAGTAAATTCAGTCAATATGGCTTTGTTACTTGGTGGCAATGGACATGATGCTTTTGTAGTCTAGTGCTTTGAAGGAGAAAGAGTCCTGAGACTGAAAATGGGATTTTATAATTGGTACACAGTTTCCTTTTGTTTCTGTGGTGCACTGGCAAGAGAACAGATAACTGGAGTGACTTAAAAAAAAAAAAAATCAGTATCCCTATTTGTTCTGATGAACAGCAAATAAGATTTTTGATGTTCATAAAGCAGATTTAATAAGAAAGGCTGCTGGTCTTACTACTTAAAGTGCTAGGTAGATTTTATCAGTAGCATTTTCCAAGCATTTTGAATTTTTGAGAACATTTTCCATTTTCTGTGTAAGAGTTGGTCCTAAACTGTAAGAATTTATTTAAAACTGTGCTGAATGTACTCTGTGCTTTGAAGATATTTTCTTCTGATCTTATTGGTTTCAAAAGTCGTTCCACAAATGCATCCTATTTGTATTTGACTTTTATTTTTATGAGCATCTAAATGTAAGATGCAGTGATCTTGTAGTTCTGGCTTCTCTGAAAACCCCAATCGAAGGATACATAATCATGACGTGGCTCCCCTGCTTTTTTAAATGCCTCATCAGTGGAGGAGTGATGTCCTACTCCTTATAGCAGGCTGGCACCTACATCCCTTGTCTGTGAAGGAAGAAGACCAGAGGTGGTGCCCTTTGCATTCAAACAGGCTCAGCGATACAACTCTTGTCTTGCAGGAGGTGCACTAACCAGCAGGGCATCTTTGCCCCTAACTTTGGTAGGGGCATCTTGTACTCTTGGTTAAAGTTAAACCAATATGCATGGAACCAGAAGAAAATCAAGCTGGAAAGAGCCTGTTTCAATGATCAAATAGTTAGGAGACATGCTGAGAGAAATTACTCCTTGGTCAAAAACTTGTTTTCTTTTCATTCAAACTTTTTTCCTTTTCATTCCTGCTTCTTCACAAAATGGATGGAAAGTTATAAAGGTTTTCATACTTAAATACTTCATTTCCACTTGCAGCAGGATGTCCACCACCAGCAGCCTAAATCTCATTTACCTTTCTTCTGGTAATGTTCATTTGTACTTTATGCCAGTCACAATGTATTGATTAAAATACGGCTGCATTGGTCACTAAAATTAAAATTTGTATCCCTTTTAACCTAACAAATTAAATTTAATCAGTGTTTCTGCAAGTCTGTAATCAAGCTTAAAAAACCTCTGTCTCTGCTATACTGGTAATACTGGAAAGTAGTTAAGATTGTTTTGAGGTATAGGAAGGTAATAGCATCTCATAAAGACAGTTTACTGTATCTGAACTGTAAGGATTCTTCAGATGACAAAATGTGTTGCCAGCTGTGCAGAAAATGCTAACTTTTGGATGTGTAGAGTTTCTCTAATACAGAATATATTCAATTTGGGGAGTACAAAGACTCTCCCCTCCCCTGAGAGGCCAGTCACCTGAGACCACTTTTTTGTGCAAAGGAAAGGGCAGCATCTATAAAGAGGTGTGGTCTACCTCTAGCACTTGTCTTGAGAGTGAATATATATATAGCAAGAGTTAAAACCACTAGGAGCATGAAGGGGGGTGGAGGGAGGGAGACATATCAGGGCCAAGCTGTGCATTAGGGGAAAACATTACTAATACTGTATCATGAATGCCACAGTACCATAGTCTGTCAGGCCGAGATAATTTTTGCAGTTACGTGGTATCGCATAGAATAAGGGTGGTGGAAAAAAGACTTTTTCAGGTTCACGTAGTGGTGATGCCAAATTGTGTGCTGAACTTTAGCAGTAGTAGGTTTCATGTTCATTTTGAAAAAGACTGCCAGCTCATATGCAGACTGGGGTACTTTTTAGACAGTCTGCTCCACTGGCTTCCTCTCATCCTTATAGTTGGCATTGATTCTGATTAAGAATTAATATTTTCAGTAAACACAGAACATAGAAAATACAGTGCTACAGTATATATTGTTAATGATCTACCTGTATTGTTGGGTTGGGTGTTCAGTGTAGTGTTTCACAGTTGTATGTTAACTGTATGTTTTGTCCTAGCGTATCCTCTTTACGGCTGGCCTACAGAGATCTTGATATTAAAATGAAAGAAGAAAAGTTAAATCTATCTGGTAAGAAAAAAGATGAATTGGACAGACTTGGCATGGGATTTGGGAGCAACAGAAGGTATGTCAAGTTTTATAATCTGTATTTAAACTACTTTGTGACTTTATGCAGTTATCCTTCATTTTACTTAGGAAGTGAAAAAAAGATACTAAGGTGTTTTATAGAAACTTAATATAATAAATTAATCTAGTATTTTTCAGGAGGAGGGGGCAGGATTGCTTCTGATAGATTTAAGTTCTAACCTGCCAGACAGGTATTAACCTAAATTGTTGGATGTCTGTAGGGTGTTTGACGCCATTAGCTGACTGTAAGAAAGGTAGTCAGGATGGTTTCAGGGAATGGTACTGTTGTGGTTTGTGCCTAACACTCAACCCCGTGGCCTCACTCAAATTCCATCCCCCTCCCCCTCAACACAAACTCTGGGATGGGGAGGACAAAGCTCAACTAGAAGCTCATGGGTCAAGACAAAGGACAAGGAGAGATCTTCACCAATTACAGTCCTGGGCAAAACAGACTCAACTTGGGGAAAAAATAATAATAAATTTCACACTAATCACACCCCCAGGACACAGACACACCAAGAGCAGGGCTTGCAGATGTTACCCCACCCCTCCCTTCTTCCCAGGCCCCAATCCCTTGGTTCCCGGTTTCTCTCCCTCCTTCCCCCCAGCAGCACAGGGGGACAGGGGATGGGGTTTGGAGTCACTTCACAGGCTGGGGGTTCCTGCTGCTCCTGCCTCCTCAGGAAGAAGGATTCCTTACAGTCCTGCCCTGCTTCCCCACGGGGTCCCTCCCATGGCACAGAGGCCTCCACCAACCTCTCCTTCCTGAGTCCTTCCCACCAGGTCCGGAGCTGCTCCAGCCTGGGCTTCCCACAGAGTCACGGGGGCTTCGGGAAAAGCCACCTCCCCTGGCCCGGGGGCTTCCACAGCTGAGCAATCAGAGCCCACTGGCAGCAAATCCTCTGGCCACCACATCCAAGTCCCCTGGCCAAGTTCCCCCCTCCTGGCGCCTTCAGGGAATGTCCCACCACGTTCCTCCATGAGTGCAGGGGCACAGCTGCCATCTCGCCATGGGCTGCAGGGAAACTTCTGCTCAGGCACCTTCTTCCCCTTCTTCCTCACCAGCCACCAGCACTGATCTCCTTCCCCAGCACAGCTCTTCCTCCAGCTGCTCCCTCTGCTCAGTTCTCAGAACTCTTATCTCAGTTCTTTAGTATGTTAATCACCGAGGGGCATCTATTGTCCCTCGAATGGCTCCTTGGCTGGTTTTGGAGCAGGGGGAATTTCTGGGCTCTTACCAGAGCCACCCCTTTGGCCCTTCACCCACCACCAAAAAAACACCAACCCAAACCAGCACAGGTACCAACTTTAATCTGTCGTTTTCAAGCCAAAACTAAAAATGTAATATTGCTGTATTTTTCAGCTCTTGGAATTGTGTGTGTACTCAGAATTCCTATTTCTACTGCAGAGTGCTACAGTTGAGTTTTCCAGGGCTCCTTTCTTCTTAAATGTTGGTATAGCTTGGCCTTTATCAGCAAGCTTCAGAAACTAGATTTGAGCTTTCTTTTATTTCTTTTTAGGATGTGAGCTTTGTAATTTTTTTACATTCTTATTTTTTTCTATCCCCAGTGGCATTTCTCACTCAGTCACCTCAGATATGCAAACAATAGAGCAGGAAACACCTGCAGTTGCAAAGCCGAAGAAAAAGTATACTGATGATCTAGAAGAATCATATTTCTCTTCAAGGTGATGTATAAGCTTTTTGTTTTCAGTGGGGATAGAAGTATATGCAAATCACTTATTTAAATATACACAATATGTTTGGAACTTAAGAACAAAACAAGACAATTGAACATGTCTACACACCTATCATAGTTTCTGGGAACATCTAAGTTGACCTTTTGTATTTGTAGAGGAAGAGTTACTTTTTCTCTACTTTCACTTGCCATATAAGCTTTTATTTGCTGTATAGTGAATCCACTGAATTTTTCAGCAGAATGACTTGTGGTTGTGGTTTGTTTATTTGTTTTCATATTGTCTTAAACTTTCAATTGAAAGTCAAACAACTATTGAAGTCTGATACTAGGTACACTACAGTTGCATCAGTCTTTTAACTGGCCTTATGCCAAATGCAAAACCTTAAATTTTTTTAAGGTATTGTGTGTTGGATGTATAGTGTAGATGTCTACAGTCTTATTTGATAAAAACTCTGTCATAAAAGTCATGTATTTGAACATAAAATGTAAGCAAAAAACACCTGACAATTTTTCATCAGATTATAAATGCAGTGCAAATTATAAAATACTGCTCTTGGGAGGGAGAAGAAAAATAATTAGTCCTACAATACTAATTGCAATGAAACAGCTGTTACTGGACTGATAAATAAAATCAGGTGTTGCTTTTATAAACTGCCTTTATTGGATTGGTGTCACAGAAACATGAAGAATTGTACTTAATTACTTGTAGACAGGGAAATACAAACACACAGGCTTTGGTGTCATTACTTTGTAGTGTAATCACTAGTGGCAGAAATGCAAATGTGGTACCAAGTAAACTGGCAGCAGTCTAATAAATACGTGTCATTTCAGTGCTTCTCTGTTTGTTCCTTGAAAATAACTGTTACTGTTCTCAAATTCTTCATAAGCCTACTAGCAGGCAAAGGATAAATTATGGAAGAGGCTTTTTAATGTGTTTTGGTTCAATAATTAGAAGATTAATTGTAACCTAGCTGTTCCCAGCTCTTGGTCTTTGTTTTAGCAGTAGCAGAATCTAATTGGAGTTGGTAATCAGATTCATCCTCTTTATAGAAAGTATAAAGTCAGATTGTTGGACTTGGTAAGGTTTGTAAGATGGTTATTATCCTTTGTTCCAAGCTTTGACTTTGAAATAGTAATTTTAATAGCATCTTATTATATGGCCAAAAGCAAAATAATCATGCTGGATATTTGAGTGCTGATAAATATCTGTAAATTAAGCAAGCTAGAAGTCTAAAGGTTTAGATATATAATTGAAAATTATATATTATTATAACGGAAAATCCATGGATTTTTATTTTTCTTTTTGTTACAATTAATAAAATATTAACATAATGATGTAAAGTTTTATTTTCTATTATATGCAATTTTTCTTTCTACTTCTATTCCTCTCTGCACTCCCCTGAATACTGAAGAGCTATTTTGCAAGGTTATGAAAATGTGAGAGGGAAGGATGGAGGAAATAAATCACTATTCAAGTCAGCTCTTGTAGCCCCTGCTCCCTCCTGTGGTTTTGATGGTTACTGTGAGATTGGATAGCTTCATATAAATATAAACACCTTGTTTGTTATTACACATCCACATGGAATTTTTTTAAGATTATTGTGGCTTCTTCATTAGATGGGCAGGAATAACAGCATTGCTTCCTTGCAGGTTGTGCTCTGTGCTTCTAGTCTGCTACTGTAAGAACATATGACATAGAAACTGAGATGACAGGCCAGATGAAAATTACCATGGTTGTAGGAAAGCATGTACTGCCTTGCCATATTTCTAAGTGATGTAAGGGAGAGGGGCAGCTGAATGAAGTAATTTGGAACACCAACTGCTTTCTGATGCTGTACCACTGATGTCTGGGAGTTTCTGCCTTCCCTCTATTTATTTTACATGTGCCATTGCACTGAAAGCAACCAAAGCTCCCATGAACAGTGAAAGACTGAACTGGTGTAGTGATGTGCCCCATACAGTTCATTCTGTGATTTTTCCTTTCTTTTCAACTTGTATCTATGACTCTTCCTTTGGATTTTCCATCTGAATCCAAAAGATGGAGGGGGTAAAAAGCCTTATTTATTGGGAAAAATTACCTTCAAGAATCTCCTGAGTGTAATACCCCTCTTTGTGGGGTGAGTGAGATTGCAGAGATTAAGATTGCATAGCAGTGAGTCATTTTCACTCAGAGCACTAAATATACTTTCCTTTGTGAGGAGAGCTTTTTGTGGAAGTTTATTTCAGATCTATCTCTGATATTTTCCATGTGTAGTGGTGGGAGACTATTCATAACACAAGCATGGAGAATATATTTTATTTTTTTTAAGGAGTGCTTTTCACAAAACACAGTCACAGACTTTAATATCCCGTGCTTGTTTTACTGAATAATTCCATTCTGCTAGCCTCCTGTCATCTTGATCATCTTCCTATCCTGGTCATATCCAAGCTTTAAGAAAGCTTATTTAACCACAAAGGGAAATGCTTAATCTTTGGCATCTTAATAGGTGTTGATTTTGGTGGCGTTTTTTAAAGTATTTTTCGTGTATGTTTAGATACGTCTACATAATCAAAGCAGAAAAGGTCAAGATTGTGTACCACCAGAATTGACAAACATGCTTAATTTTTTCCACTCTTCATTCTGTTTTTGTTTTCCCTGCAGTTTTGATATGCAAGAGAAGATTGTCTTATTCAAGCCTCACTTTTAAGAAATATGTTCTTTAGCATTTTTTTAATAAAACATGTAAAAAAACCCAAAGGTACTTAATACTTGTATTTTATAAAAGGTACAGAATCAGACAGAAGGGCTTTCCTTACTGTTCTGAACTGTGTTTTTTGATGCCCCAGAAAATGGGAGCAGATTCCCTGCTGGCATAGCTTACAGACTAACTCTTACAGCAGTGTGAGGTTAGCCACCATCAGCCCCTTTGTTAAGAAATTTTGCCCCATGTGGAAGCACAGCACAATCATATTCCATGGGTTAGGTGCTCTTGGATCTCTGGGGTGTTTGAAGTTGCTTGAAAGTTGTGGTGGCCTTTCATAGTTGATGTGTTAGCCTGGAGTGTCAAGAGCACCAGGCCTTTCTGAGCAGACTGTTTTGTAGGGTCCTCTTGCTCACAGGGTCCATCCTGCTCTTAAACCAGCTGGGTATCTTGGCAATGTTCTTCCCAGTGTTTTGCCTGACACTAAAGATGATGTCATACTTGGAAGTAATGAGAACTTTGCTGCTTTTCAGTCCAATATGTATGTTGAAAACCAAAAATCTATTTGATTTAACTTTACAAAGCTTCTAAGCAGTATTATAACATACAGATTATTCACTGACAACTATCATGGTACTGAAAACTTGCTTGCTAGTGAACAGTTATAGCAGTATTTATCTAACAATATAAGGTTCCCACTTTTCCAAAACTTACATTTTTCTTTATTTGTTTTAGGTACTATGATTCTTCAGATTTGAGGAGCAGCACTTTCTCTAAATGGGACGACAATTCAGATTCTTTCTGGAAGAAAGAAAATAATAGTAGAGATACTGATCTAATGTTAACTTCAAAAAGTACAGGATTTTCAGACAGGTATACCAAGAAAGCCTAACTGATTTTTGCACAGAAAGCCAAAGCTTGTTAATATGATTTGAGTCCTGGTCATAATAGTGAGATTTTTTTTCAACCTAGAAATTGACCATCACTTTCATCAGCAGCCAAAGGACTTCCTGACTAATTTCTTTTGTGAGCTGAATTTCCTGTTTTCATGTTAAGCACTTTTCTGCTTTGCTCAGTGCTGTGCAGTGTATTTACTGGAGATAATTTTCAAAGCGTTTCAGTGAAAACAAAAGTAGACAAAAGATGTGGAGAGAAACTCAAATATTTGCACTGTTCTTACGGCATACTTGCTTTGTTTATTGCCTAGTGAACCAAAGAGAACCCAGTTACCAAATGAGTGAAGCTGTGTAGGGTGCTCAGCTTTCAGGATGAAGGTATTGAAGATACTTGCAAACAGCAGGTCTAATTGTTGGAATGATAAAAAATGAATATATTTCTTCTTTGACTGTATTTTATCATAGTAATCAAGGTGAAGATGCAAGAATATGGGCTTTTGTGTGCTCAGTTGGTGTTTTCTGTTTCTGTTCTTACTTAAATCTGCATTTTTCATTTACTTGAAATGCATTCATTAAAATGCAGTTTGTGCACTAAAGTACAACTTCTTTTTCTTAACACAAGCATGTTACTTGTCCATGAAAGAGTGAACCAGTAATGCATATTACAAAAATAGGGGTTTGTGTCCATAACACTATTACTTCCTTATTTGAGTACATTTGCTTTAAAAAAAAACAACAAAGGCAAGTGTTGAATATGTATGTTTGAGGAGGAAGGCAGTGACAGCTCAAACCATGTTGAACCTTCTCATGCTATTGCATTTAAATCTGAATTTCACTGACACAGTGATTTGGGTTTTTTGAAGTGTTGTAGAAATATTATTCCCATGTTGATATAACCCAACTTGCTTTTTAAATGAATTCTGAAAATAAGGATACAAGACTGAATGAATTTAAAACACAAACGTTCAACATCTTGTAAAACTGAAATTTTATTTCAGTAATTAAAGATGATGGTGCTTCTTGTTTTATTTATTGCATTTTGCCTTGATGGATGTAAAAGTGATGCTCACTAACTCAGTTTGTTTTTCTTTTAGGCCTGCATCTCGTCGTAAGCCTGAATACGAACCACCTTTAAACACAGATGAAGCACAAAAAAAATTTGGCAATGTAAAAGCAATTTCATCAGATATGTTCTTTGGAAGGCAAGATCAGGCTGATGTGAGTAGAAAGCAGTGATAAATGTTTTTGAATGTTAGAATATTCTTTTACTATAAAAAAGAAAATAAAGAGCCAAAATTGGTAGAATGAGGAAGCTTATAGAATTATGTCCATTCGAATATTTTTTTGATAGAAATGTGCAAGTCTCTGGTAACTCTGATAGTTCAGTATTTAATTTTAAGGAGTTACAGCTGCAAGTAAATCCTTACCTCAAACATCATTCTTCTCTGATAGAAGTTGCACACTACAATTCACAAGTCTTTATTTTTGAAAGAATCAGCCTGGTGCTGGGTAAAGCCTCACTTCCTGTGTTCCAAACACCCCAGCTGATGTCAGCAAACAGCTGTTAAAACTGCTGCCCCCCTTGTATTTGCACGGAAATATTATTACTATTGTAAGGCTAACCAATCAGATAAATTGTTCAATAAATTACATGTAATTTAATAAGCCTAGAAATATAAACAGAGATGAATAATATGTGTTAGAATTGAGGGATCATTTTTTAAAAATCAATTTTAAAGGAAAAATTAACAATGCAAAGAGTAATACAAAAATATAATAATAAATGTATTGCCATTCCCAGGGAACTCAGAAAAAGCATCATGTGATTAGAAGGGTTAACATGGTGATAACTGCAGTGCTTTTTACTTATCCTACCCAACCACTCAATTTCATGTTCTTTAGTTGTTTTTCAGCCATTTTAGGGTAGATAACACACTGAGTAGGCTTCTTGGTGTTGCAATGATAAATGTCACCCTCTACTCAACCCAGAAATGAGTTGAGGTGATGACAAACTCAAAACCATGTGAGGTAAAACTCTGAAGTGGGAACAACTTCCAGATGGTCAACTTCAGCTGGATTTGTATGTTCTAAAACTGGATCTATAGTCTCATGAATTATCTGATATGACCTCAAAAGATGACAGCATACTGTTATAACAATATATATATATGTTAATATATGTTAATATAACTTTTTCTTCTCAATTGTTTTCCAGTATGAAGCAAGGGCTCGACTAGAAAGACTTTCTGGGAGCACTTCTATAAGTTCAGCTGACCTCTTTGAAGATCAGAGAAGACAATCAACAGGTACATATGGAACAGAGTGAGAAACTGTATGGAGTGTTGAATAATTTCCTGTACTCTGCTTCTAGTCACACTGTGAGCTAGCTGTGTTATTTGCAAGAAATGTGCAAAGTGCAGTATGCACTGGTAGGTCAAACAAGCTTAACAGGTGTAATAATTTTTTAAAATATTGTCTTAAATTTCCAGTTCTGTATTTCCAGTTAAGTTCAATATTTTATACTGGGTTTTTTTAAATGTGGTTTGTTGCAAATAATAGACTAACTATATTGTAAATAATTTTATCAAAGGAAAATGTTAATATTTTGTTATAAAAACAAACGAGGTAACACCTAAATTGACTATCAGGTAGTGTTTTTTATAAGTTACCCTAAGTAACTTGTATATTTATATACATGAAAATAACTGCCATAATAATACTGAATCTAAGAAGAATCTCTAACAAAATGTTAGTGGCCTTGAAATTCCTGTGTTACCTGTTACAGGGCATATCCATTCATCAGGCTTCTAACATTGGTCTTGCCAAATTATTAAGGAAGCTTTTCAGTTGGTTTGTTTGTATAAAAGGTTTGTTGGAACACCTTACATTAGAGAGCAGAGCTTATCAAATTAGAAAGGAAGAAGTATTAGATAATCTCAAAAGTAGGCCCTTAGGCTATTGAAAATGTCTCATGTCTTTTTTCCAGCATCCTTTTTGTATAGTTTAATAATGTGAAATAGAAAAGGTAGGAAATACTGGAACATTTTATTGACTTGATCAGTTGGGTTTAGTTCCTTAACTTGTGAAGAAATGGGAAAAAAATAAAACTATTGAAGAACTTGAAATCTGTTAGTAAAGCTATAAATAGTCTGGAAAGGCAAACAGTATGCAGCATCTGATTTTACTTTGGAGAAGTTGGAGGAAAAAAATAACATGTGACTGGGTTATTTTGATCCCCTGAAAGCAAGTTTTGAATACACTGGCTAGCAGAGAAAGAACTCCTGTTACCAGTTACTTAAGCTGGATTTTAGTACAGTAAGCAAAAAAATTAAAATTGTGGGTAGGAGACATAAAGCAGAAATTGCAGTAACTTCCTTTAGTTGCTTGAAAAAGAATTTGCAACATGGTGTCATACTTGTCCTTAAAAAAGATGTGGAGAGCATAGGCAAAGAAATTGTTTCTTTCTGAATTTGTAACCAATATTTTCAGTAATATCTGGGAATGTGATAACAAATATTACTCTATCTATCATGGAACTTTCTTCATCCTTTTTCTTTCAATTCTCCTGCATATAAATTGTTTTATGATTGAATTAATATATATGGGGCTTTTACACAGTAATGAACAAGGGAATGAACTAGGAAAAGATAAATATAAGTTAAATATGGGGCAGATTGTGTGATGTGACATATGTGTGCACACTCCAATACACACATGTAATATAAATGTGCTTTCCTATGTACTCATGAGAAATTCTCACCATATTCTGAGTCAGGGTACTTACAGGCAATTACAAAACATTTACTACATGTACATGGATTGTGTACACACGATTATTCTCATAATTGACCACTTAGAAGGGTTCTTGGAGTTGAGGGGGAACTTACTGTGAGAGTGACAGAGCCCTGGAACAGGCTGCCCAGAGAGGTTGTGGAGTCTCCTTCACTGGAGACTTTCAAGACCTGTCTGGATGAGTTCCTGTGTGATCCGTCCTAGGTGTTCCTGCTCTGGCAGGGGCTTGGACTAGATGATCTTTCAAGGTCCGTTCCAACCCCTAAGATTCTGTCATTCTGTGAATGCAGAGATTCCTCATAATGGGATGAAAAATACCCACCTGTGACTCAAGGTTAATTACTCTCTGTGTCTGGCATGTAACACAACAGTAAATTTAAAGTTATATTATGAAGACTGAAATTCTGCTAAATGCTGTGGGTTGCTAACTGCTTGAAAATAAAAGTGAGGAAAAAATACATTGGGAATTATTAGTTTCTGTATTATAAATTCACACTATATTTGATATACAGAATCTTCCTTTCCTGCTTGTTTTTCTATTACACCCCCTAGCCCAAAGACTATCTTTTGTTAGAGGCCTTTACATTTTGCTGCACTTGATAGCTTGTCTGGTCTTGAATTAATGCCAAAACCATCATTAGTTGCATAAAATAAAGGTAATGAGGAGACGCAAGGCTGGCAACAAAAGTGCTGCTGAAATTCTGGGGTCCTTGCCAGAATAAAATGTCCTTTGGAGCTAGAGTTGTTTTTGTCAGCATTGCTGAGATTTTAGGGTAGAACAATTTTGGGATGCTTGCTTTTGTACAGAATGCTGTCAGAACTATTTACCAAAAACACAGGACTGCAAGAAAGCACTTTTAGTTTGCACTGTTTCAGACCTGTTGCTTATGAAAAATGTAATGTCAGGTGACCAACTTGTAGATGCTGATTTTGAAAGAAATCTCAAGAAAAGGAGTTGCTTTCCTGTTTCATTTGTGAGAAATTTTTCAGAAAACCATACCCAAGCAGAAAAACATGAGAAAATTGATGTGGTTGAGAAGTGGTTAGTGATTTTCTCAGGTTATTTATATCTGCAAATTTTATTTTTGTCACTCTGTGACTTTAATAACATAAAATGCCGAAGCATTTGATAAGCGGAACTGATCATAAGGAAGCAAAAAATAAAAGCTCAGAAATAGGGCTCTCAATGACAGTGAATTCTTGAAAACAATCTATAAATAAGTGTGCCCATGCATTGTAGAGACAGTTGTATAGAATGGAGTGGGAAGCTCTGTGACTATGCAATCCACCATTATGAAGCAGCTACTTAGCTTAGAAATCAGATTATCTACAGTAATGTCTTTTGCAGACTGCTCATGAGGCAGGTGCCTTTAATTTCCCATGGAAAGAGGAGCTGCAAGTTCTCTCTCTTCCTCATCAACTGCTGTTCAAAAATAAAAGAAGTGGAAAAGAAAGGTCTTGCAGTGCTAGCAGTGCCCTGCACAGAGCTACTTTCAAGTGGAGTTAGAGCTGTGCAGGTGTGGAGTCTGCAGCTGGATGAGTTTGTCCAAGGTTCTGTAACTGCTCACAAGTCACCACTTGTGTCCTGACTGGTAGCAGTTGGCTATGTGTCTAAATTCAGACTAAAAATGGTAGTTTCTGTTTTGAAAACAGTGTGGTTTGGGATGCTTCCTCTCAGGAGCTTCATTTATTCCTGAGATCATAGTTTTGCATGCACACAAATAACATTCATCACTTCAGCCACCATTGAAGTGCATTCATCTTTTAATTGTAAGGTAATAGGAGCTTTAATATTAAGCTTTACTAGCAGTTTAGGATACAAGACAAATAACATTGCAGCATATGGAGAGTGCAGAATAAATCATATGTTATCCAAACATTAATTGCTCGGCTGGGAAAACAAAGTGTAGAAGATGACACTCTTGGTGGAATTACAAACAACTGGAAAAAATTAAAAGGAAGATGCATTTAAGAAATTTCAAATCTATGCCTAGTGTTTTTTACAGTATTGTACTTTGAGGGAGGAAAAAAGGGCTACTTTTAATATGAAATTCTGTTTTCTTCTGTGTGTGTGTTCTCATTTTAGGAAGCTACAACATTACAAATGTCTTGCCTTCAGCTCCCGATATAGCTCAGTTTAAACAAGGAGTGAAATCAGTGGCTGGAAAACTTTCTGTACTTGCTAATGGGGTCATGACATCTATACAGGTTAGTAAAAATATGACAATATATTAACCACCAGTTAAAGTTTTTTTTGCAGGGATTTAGTATTATGGATCCTGGTATTGAATCACCTTTAAGGAGAAAAGAATTAATTTAGTTCTGAACTTTGTACACCTCTCCTGGTAGACAGTAGATCTCTATCTTTTTAAAAACAGATCTGTAGCTGATAGCTCACCTTCCTTAGAATAACTTTTTTTATTTTTCCCTTACATAGTTTATTTCTTTTTTTACAATTGAAACAAAAATTCCACTATGGAAATTATTTGCTGTCACTTTATTTTTAAAGTAGTAATACTTCATAACTCAGAATAGAATAGAAGGGAACCTGCAGTGATCATCTAGCCCAGCTCTTGTATTGGCTCTTTAATTGACTTGACAGCACTACCTTTGATCCATGTTTGTGCACAAAATTAAGACATCCTGGTCTCAACAGTGTAAAGCTTCGTGCTCCAGTGAGTTTGCATTTCCTATATAAGGTCAGTAGGAGCTTTTGGGTGTTTGAAAATCAGCTAATTAACCTGGAGTTTAACTGTAAACTCCAGTTCTTGGAGGCACTGGTCAATTTTCTTTAAGTCTTTAAAAACTGAGCTACTATTTATTTTAACAATGTGAAAATGTTTTTGAATGTTAGAATATTCTTTTACTATAAAAAAGAAAATAAAGAGCCAAAATTGGTAGAATGAGGAAGCTTATAGAATTATGTCCATTCGAATATTTTTTTGATAGAAATGTGCAAGTCTCTGGTAACTCTGATAGTTCAGTATTTAATTTTAAGGAGTTACAGCTGCAAGTAAATCCTTACCTCAAACATCATTCTTCTCTGATAGAAGTTGCACACTACAATTCACAAGTCTTTATTTTTGAAAGAATCAGCCTGGTGCTGGGTAAAGCCTCACTTCCTGTGTTCCAAACACCCCAGCTGATGTCAGCAAACAGCTGTTAAAACTGCTGCCCCCCTTGTATTTGCACGGAAATATTATTACTATTGTAAGGCTAACCAATCAGATAAATTGTTCAATAAATTACATGTAATTTAATAAGCCTAGAAATATAAACAGAGATGAATAATATGTGTTAGAATTGAGGGATCATTTTTTAAAAATCAATTTTAAAGGAAAAATTAACAATGCAAAGAGTAATACAAAAATATAATAATAAATGTATTGCCATTCCCAGGGAACTCAGAAAAAGCATCATGTGATTAGAAGGGTTAACATGGTGATAACTGCAGTGCTTTTTACTTATCCTACCCAACCACTCAATTTCATGTTCTTTAGTTGTTTTTCAGCCATTTTAGGGTAGATAACACACTGAGTAGGCTTCTTGGTGTTGCAATGATAAATGTCACCCTCTACTCAACCCAGAAATGAGTTGAGGTGATGACAAACTCAAAACCATGTGAGGTAAAACTCTGAAGTGGGAACAACTTCCAGATGGTCAACTTCAGCTGGATTTGTATGTTCTAAAACTGGATCTATAGTCTCATGAATTATCTGATATGACCTCAAAAGATGACAGCATACTGTTATAACAATATATATATATGTTAATATATGTTAATATAACTTTTTCTTCTCAATTGTTTTCCAGTATGAAGCAAGGGCTCGACTAGAAAGACTTTCTGGGAGCACTTCTATAAGTTCAGCTGACCTCTTTGAAGATCAGAGAAGACAATCAACAGGTACATATGGAACAGAGTGAGAAACTGTATGGAGTGTTGAATAATTTCCTGTACTCTGCTTCTAGTCACACTGTGAGCTAGCTGTGTTATTTGCAAGAAATGTGCAAAGTGCAGTATGCACTGGTAGGTCAAACAAGCTTAACAGGTGTAATAATTTTTTAAAATATTGTCTTAAATTTCCAGTTCTGTATTTCCAGTTAAGTTCAATATTTTATACTGGGTTTTTTTAAATGTGGTTTGTTGCAAATAATAGACTAACTATATTGTAAATAATTTTATCAAAGGAAAATGTTAATATTTTGTTATAAAAACAAACGAGGTAACACCTAAATTGACTATCAGGTAGTGTTTTTTATAAGTTACCCTAAGTAACTTGTATATTTATATACATGAAAATAACTGCCATAATAATACTGAATCTAAGAAGAATCTCTAACAAAATGTTAGTGGCCTTGAAATTCCTGTGTTACCTGTTACAGGGCATATCCATTCATCAGGCTTCTAACATTGGTCTTGCCAAATTATTAAGGAAGCTTTTCAGTTGGTTTGTTTGTATAAAAGGTTTGTTGGAACACCTTACATTAGAGAGCAGAGCTTATCAAATTAGAAAGGAAGAAGTATTAGATAATCTCAAAAGTAGGCCCTTAGGCTATTGAAAATGTCTCATGTCTTTTTTCCAGCATCCTTTTTGTATAGTTTAATAATGTGAAATAGAAAAGGTAGGAAATACTGGAACATTTTATTGACTTGATCAGTTGGGTTTAGTTCCTTAACTTGTGAAGAAATGGGAAAAAAATAAAACTATTGAAGAACTTGAAATCTGTTAGTAAAGCTATAAATAGTCTGGAAAGGCAAACAGTATGCAGCATCTGATTTTACTTTGGAGAAGTTGGAGGAAAAAAATAACATGTGACTGGGTTATTTTGATCCCCTGAAAGCAAGTTTTGAATACACTGGCTAGCAGAGAAAGAACTCCTGTTACCAGTTACTTAAGCTGGATTTTAGTACAGTAAGCAAAAAAATTAAAATTGTGGGTAGGAGACATAAAGCAGAAATTGCAGTAACTTCCTTTAGTTGCTTGAAAAAGAATTTGCAACATGGTGTCATACTTGTCCTTAAAAAAGATGTGGAGAGCATAGGCAAAGAAATTGTTTCTTTCTGAATTTGTAACCAATATTTTCAGTAATATCTGGGAATGTGATAACAAATATTACTCTATCTATCATGGAACTTTCTTCATCCTTTTTCTTTCAATTCTCCTGCATATAAATTGTTTTATGATTGAATTAATATATATGGGGCTTTTACACAGTAATGAACAAGGGAATGAACTAGGAAAAGATAAATATAAGTTAAATATGGGGCAGATTGTGTGATGTGACATATGTGTGCACACTCCAATACACACATGTAATATAAATGTGCTTTCCTATGTACTCATGAGAAATTCTCACCATATTCTGAGTCAGGGTACTTACAGGCAATTACAAAACATTTACTACATGTACATGGATTGTGTACACACGATTATTCTCATAATTGACCACTTAGAAGGGTTCTTGGAGTTGAGGGGGAACTTACTGTGAGAGTGACAGAGCCCTGGAACAGGCTGCCCAGAGAGGTTGTGGAGTCTCCTTCACTGGAGACTTTCAAGACCTGTCTGGATGAGTTCCTGTGTGATCCGTCCTAGGTGTTCCTGCTCTGGCAGGGGCTTGGACTAGATGATCTTTCAAGGTCCGTTCCAACCCCTAAGATTCTGTCATTCTGTGAATGCAGAGATTCCTCATAATGGGATGAAAAATACCCACCTGTGACTCAAGGTTAATTACTCTCTGTGTCTGGCATGTAACACAACAGTAAATTTAAAGTTATATTATGAAGACTGAAATTCTGCTAAATGCTGTGGGTTGCTAACTGCTTGAAAATAAAAGTGAGGAAAAAATACATTGGGAATTATTAGTTTCTGTATTATAAATTCACACTATATTTGATATACAGAATCTTCCTTTCCTGCTTGTTTTTCTATTACACCCCCTAGCCCAAAGACTATCTTTTGTTAGAGGCCTTTACATTTTGCTGCACTTGATAGCTTGTCTGGTCTTGAATTAATGCCAAAACCATCATTAGTTGCATAAAATAAAGGTAATGAGGAGACGCAAGGCTGGCAACAAAAGTGCTGCTGAAATTCTGGGGTCCTTGCCAGAATAAAATGTCCTTTGGAGCTAGAGTTGTTTTTGTCAGCATTGCTGAGATTTTAGGGTAGAACAATTTTGGGATGCTTGCTTTTGTACAGAATGCTGTCAGAACTATTTACCAAAAACACAGGACTGCAAGAAAGCACTTTTAGTTTGCACTGTTTCAGACCTGTTGCTTATGAAAAATGTAATGTCAGGTGACCAACTTGTAGATGCTGATTTTGAAAGAAATCTCAAGAAAAGGAGTTGCTTTCCTGTTTCATTTGTGAGAAATTTTTCAGAAAACCATACCCAAGCAGAAAAACATGAGAAAATTGATGTGGTTGAGAAGTGGTTAGTGATTTTCTCAGGTTATTTATATCTGCAAATTTTATTTTTGTCACTCTGTGACTTTAATAACATAAAATGCCGAAGCATTTGATAAGCGGAACTGATCATAAGGAAGCAAAAAATAAAAGCTCAGAAATAGGGCTCTCAATGACAGTGAATTCTTGAAAACAATCTATAAATAAGTGTGCCCATGCATTGTAGAGACAGTTGTATAGAATGGAGTGGGAAGCTCTGTGACTATGCAATCCACCATTATGAAGCAGCTACTTAGCTTAGAAATCAGATTATCTACAGTAATGTCTTTTGCAGACTGCTCATGAGGCAGGTGCCTTTAATTTCCCATGGAAAGAGGAGCTGCAAGTTCTCTCTCTTCCTCATCAACTGCTGTTCAAAAATAAAAGAAGTGGAAAAGAAAGGTCTTGCAGTGCTAGCAGTGCCCTGCACAGAGCTACTTTCAAGTGGAGTTAGAGCTGTGCAGGTGTGGAGTCTGCAGCTGGATGAGTTTGTCCAAGGTTCTGTAACTGCTCACAAGTCACCACTTGTGTCCTGACTGGTAGCAGTTGGCTATGTGTCTAAATTCAGACTAAAAATGGTAGTTTCTGTTTTGAAAACAGTGTGGTTTGGGATGCTTCCTCTCAGGAGCTTCATTTATTCCTGAGATCATAGTTTTGCATGCACACAAATAACATTCATCACTTCAGCCACCATTGAAGTGCATTCATCTTTTAATTGTAAGGTAATAGGAGCTTTAATATTAAGCTTTACTAGCAGTTTAGGATACAAGACAAATAACATTGCAGCATATGGAGAGTGCAGAATAAATCATATGTTATCCAAACATTAATTGCTCGGCTGGGAAAACAAAGTGTAGAAGATGACACTCTTGGTGGAATTACAAACAACTGGAAAAAATTAAAAGGAAGATGCATTTAAGAAATTTCAAATCTATGCCTAGTGTTTTTTACAGTATTGTACTTTGAGGGAGGAAAAAAGGGCTACTTTTAATATGAAATTCTGTTTTCTTCTGTGTGTGTGTTCTCATTTTAGGAAGCTACAACATTACAAATGTCTTGCCTTCAGCTCCCGATATAGCTCAGTTTAAACAAGGAGTGAAATCAGTGGCTGGAAAACTTTCTGTACTTGCTAATGGGGTCATGACATCTATACAGGTTAGTAAAAATATGACAATATATTAACCACCAGTTAAAGTTTTTTTTGCAGGGATTTAGTATTATGGATCCTGGTATTGAATCACCTTTAAGGAGAAAAGAATTAATTTAGTTCTGAACTTTGTACACCTCTCCTGGTAGACAGTAGATCTCTATCTTTTTAAAAACAGATCTGTAGCTGATAGCTCACCTTCCTTAGAATAACTTTTTTTATTTTTCCCTTACATAGTTTATTTCTTTTTTTACAATTGAAACAAAAATTCCACTATGGAAATTATTTGCTGTCACTTTATTTTTAAAGTAGTAATACTTCATAACTCAGAATAGAATAGAAGGGAACCTGCAGTGATCATCTAGCCCAGCTCTTGTATTGGCTCTTTAATTGACTTGACAGCACTACCTTTGATCCATGTTTGTGCACAAAATTAAGACATCCTGGTCTCAACAGTGTAAAGCTTCGTGCTCCAGTGAGTTTGCATTTCCTATATAAGGTCAGTAGGAGCTTTTGGGTGTTTGAAAATCAGCTAATTAACCTGGAGTTTAACTGTAAACTCCAGTTCTTGGAGGCACTGGTCAATTTTCTTTAAGTCTTTAAAAACTGAGCTACTATTTATTTTAACAATGTGAGTAAAAGGAATTTCTTTCAGCGGAAAACACTGATGTCTGTCTTTTTTTTACTTTTCTAGGATCGATATGGTTCATGACATCTTTTGTATCGACATAATTAAGTACACTAAAGAAGGATTTCTCTTAAGATACACAAGTAATCACACTGCTGATTCAAAATGAAGGTTGCCTTAAGACTGTTGATGTTTTCACTTGTTCCAGCATATCCCCTTGTGCAGCTTTCTGGCTCAGCCTCCTCTTCCTGCCATTTCATCTTTATAGAGCAGAAATCTTGTTACATTGCATATGTTGTTTTATTCCCCTTCCTTTACAGTCTTGTATTTCTTAGTGACCTTAATGTTAGATGTTGGAAGCTTTATTTTATTACTGGTTTTGGCTGTGAGGCAGGAAAGAGAAAACGTACATTGGAAATGAGGTTTTCTAACAGAAACCTCAGTGCAGCTGCATCCTTACTCACTAGACTTAAGTTGTCTTGACTGTCTTACCAGCTCTGGATAAGAAAATGTAAATGAAGCATATGCTGAGGTGGTATTTAGTGGACTGTAGCAAAATACAGAGTTAAGTTAAACCTGTACTTATCAGAAAGTAGAAGCTCTTGCAGTCATAATTTGATGTGCACTAAAATGATGGGGAGTTAAGTGTTTTAAAACAATATTCCTGCTAGAAAATTGTATGATTAGATGTGAGGTATGGGGAATTTAAGACACGTGGTTTACTGAATATACTGGATTTCAACTTGTGATGGGAACCATCTATTTATTCCTAGTTTTGAGAGTTACAAAAAATTGCAATATAGAACCCTTAAGTGCTTTTTTAAAATCTGCATTGTGTACAAATTGAAAAAAATATATAAAGGGCCTAATATAATAGTTAATTAAATACTTGATAAAAATTGTTAAAACAATCTTAGGTTTTTTTATAAATTATGAAATATTGAATTAGGAAATAGTGGGGCTGTGTTTTAGACAGTCTAGAATTTATTACTGATGACATTCTATATAAAAAATGATTATGACTTAAAGAAAAAAACCCTCACAACCAAGATTAAGCTCAAGCTAATTCTGTTCTGTAACTTTATTTCTTAATTCAAATTTGTAAACTGCTGATACCTAATAAAAACAATTGATACAAACTCATTTTTAAATTAAATTTCTATGTGCAGACACCAATATCCAGCTTTCTGAATCATGCCATCTGTACTCTGTCTATGCAATGGTCTGGTAAAATTAGCTTTTCATTTCAGTTAGTGAAACTAGCTTTCTTGTTAAATAGATACAGTGATTTAGAAATCAAAACACTAAGGCTGGGGTAGAAAATGAGCTACTAAGTTGGAATACTTTATTGAAATGCAGTTAACAGTATAGCTGTGTTTGGTTTTTAATGTCTTGCTGTATCTTAAACTCTCAGTTCTGGTACCTTTCTCTTGTGGCTGTTGCATTTAGATTTATTAATCCAAAAAGGATAATTTGTTCTGCATAAATGTAGAGCTTTAGAGTGAAAGATTTGCTTTGTTTTCTTCTTTTCCCAGCCTATAGAGATTATTTTGCTAGTATAATAAGAAAATGTACGGGTCATGGCTTGCTTTGATTTTCTCTAATTACAGGTAACAGTTCTTAGTTTTCAAACTAGTCTTTCACTTAAATGTACACGCGGGAGTGAATTTATTACAGGTAATAAGTGGCCTGATTATGGAGTTGCAGTACAGTAACAGCATCTAGTGACTTGCAGAAGAGCTGCTCCTTCAATAGCTAGGTTGTATAGTTAGACATTTGTGTATGGATGCAGTTGCTTAAATTAAGGCAGTGAAGTATAGCAAAACGTAGCTCTGTCCCCTCGTGTGTCTTCTCAAATATAACAATGTGAGATCACCTATATCAGCTACAACTATGAGAATGTTACTTCTGATTTTAGTGGTTTAAATTTTCTCATGGTTTCTACTATTTAAAATTATCAAATAATTGTGTGCATGTTCTGTGTATGCTTGCAATACAGCAAACCACTATAGTATAAAATATGTATATATAATATATATATATAATATATATATATAATATAGTATAGTATAAAATAAGAAGGAATTCTAGGAGGAAACATCTATGGGGTTATCTTAAATACCATGAAACATGTGCAAATTTTTCACTGATGTATACATTTTTTCTTCTTTGCTGCAACCTGAAGATTACACCTCAGAGTTCTTTAATGTGTGAAAAAATCTCCACTCATTAGATGAGGAGGACAAGGAAAAGGCTGAGGTTCTTAACACCTTCTTTGCCTCAGTCTTTAACAAAAATAATAGCTACCCTCAGGACAACTGGGCTCCTGAGTTGGTAGACAGGGATGGGGAGCAGAATCTCCCTCCTGTAATCCAGGAGGAAGTAGTTAGAGACCTGCTGTGCCACTTAGATCCCAACACGTCCATAGGTCCAGATGGGATTCACCCTCGGGTGCTGAGGGAGCTGGCAGAAGAACTGGCCAAGCTGCTCTCTGTCATTGGATGGTTGGATGACCAGGCCCAGAGAGTGATGGTGGATGCAGCTGCATCCAGCTGGTGTCTGGTGATCAGCAGTGTCAGTACTGGGCTCAGTCCTATTGAACATCTTTACTGATCACCTGGATGTGCAGATTGAGTCCACCCTCAGCAAAAGCACAGATGACACCAAGCTGGGGGGAGTCTCGATCTGCCAGAGAGTTGGAAGAATCTGCAGGAGGACCTGGACAGGCTGGGTCGATGGGCTGAGGCCAATGGCATAAAATTCAACAAGACCAAGTGCAGGGTCCTGCACTTTGGCCACAATAACCTCAGGCAGCACTACAGACTGGGGAAGAGTGGCTGGAGAGCAGCCTGGCAGGGAGGGACCTGGGAGTGCTGGTTGACAACCAGTTGAACATGAGCCAGCAGGGTGCCCAGGTGGCCTGGAAGGCCAATGGCATCCTGGCTTGTATCAGGAATAGTGTGGCCAGCAGGAGCAGGGATGTAATTCCGCCTCTGTTCTCAGCACTGGTGAGACCTCACCTCGAGTCCTGTGTGCAGTTCTGGGCCCCTCACTGCAAGAAGGATATTGAGGTGCTGGAGCAGGCCCAGAGGACAGCAACAAGGCTGGTGAAAGGACTAGAGGGAAAGTCTTAGAGGGACAGGCTGAGGGAGCTGGGGTTGTTTAGGTGGAGGAGACTCATGGGGGACCTTATCACTCTCTTCAACCACCAGAAGGGAGGTTGTAGTCAGGTGGGGCTGGGCTCTTTTTCCAGGCAACTAGTGACAGGACAAGAGGGCATGGCCTGAAGCTGCTGCAGGGGAGGTTGAGGTTGGATATTAGGAAGTACTTCCTCACAGAGAGGGTCATTAGACATGGGAATGGACTTCCCAGGGAAGTGGTGGAGACACCATCCCTGAATGTGTTCAAGGAAAGGCTGGATGTGGCACTTAGTGCCATGGTCCAGCTGATGTGGTGGTGTTGGTCCTAGGCTGGACTTGATGATCTCAGAGGTCTTTTCCACCTTCAATAATTCTGTGATTCTGAACAATTCAGTATTTTCAGGAATATTGTGCAGTTCAACAGATTGTGGATTTGTTGTGGCAGATTTGTTATGGCACCCTGTGTGCTAATAGGTTCTCTTGATATTCTCTTGACATGATGACTGAATGCATCACTCTTGATTGCCAATACACCTCATCTTTCCCATGAAGTGTCACAGTGTTGCATCGAATAGAGGTGAGGAAGAGCTGCCACATATACTGGAGGAGCCAGCTGTAACTCTAGTTTCCTGGGAATTCAGGATGCCATGGCACCTGTGATCCTGCAGGATCTGATTGGACTGGATCAAAGGGAGAAAAAGTCTGAACCTGAAATAAGACTTGCCTTCCTGCTTTCTTGTGTGTCCTGTTTCTCTCCCACCTTTTGATTTCAGTCACATTTGTCGCACTCTGGTAAGAGGGGAAATGACTGATGCTGCCGCAGGCATCACAGTTTTTAGAATGTGTATTTTATCTGTTTTTGCAACAAGTTTCCAAGTGAAACTTGGCATTTTGTTGCACTTGTTTTTAATCCTCTCTTACCATTCTGACACACCTTGCTTTTTCAAAGCTGGAACTGAATGATGGCAGCAGCAACTGTGAACCATTCAAGTTAAACTCTTCTTAAAGTCCAGTAGGGAGACCATATAAAAGGGGAGGAGAAAGAGGATTATTTAAAACTTTATATTTCAGAGAGACTATTTATGTAGGTTAAATTGAAAGGGTTAGAAAAATGTTTAAAGTTAGTTGTTAAAATAATAGAACCAGCGTTAATTCAATGCAGAGACCTGTACTCTGATTTTCTGAGTAAACTGTGAACGGCATCTTGTTACTCTCTGGTTCTCTTGCTCTCTGCAAAATAGGAAATTCTCAATACTGTCATTCTGGTGTGCTTCACATATTGGTTTGTTCAACTGCTGGGAAAAGCAATTCCAGAGCCAGTTTGGTGTTAATTTAAGTTTTTTATTCTATAGTGCAAGAGAGGGCAGGGTGATTCCATAGCACAGGAGTCTATAAACGTTGTCTTAGCTACGTGTATTTTAGCACTGCTCTTGAGTCAAAGAAGTGTAGCTGTCATTGTACATCAAGGGTGAAGCTGAAGACTACATAAAATGGTGTGGGGTTGATTTGGTTTGGAGGAGCTTCTACACAAATTAGCTTTGTTGCATATCCATGCATGTGAGACTGGATTCTCTTTGATCAGTAATGGTCAAACCAGTGTTCTACAAACCTGGAGGTCACTGAGGTGGTACAAAGCAGAAAAACTTAAGTCATCCTATGCTCTGCTGCTCACAAATTCAAAGACAAACAGTAGCACTGTCTTTGTCTTCTTGCAAGATCAGCTGCACCTATGAGAATGTTACTTCTAATTTTAGTAGTTTAAATTTTCTCATGGTTTCTACTATTTAAAACCATCAAAGGGAGTAAAACCATGTGGTCTCCCACACAGAGCAGTATGATCTCATGGTTCTTTTTCAACTTCCATTTCTGTAAGACTTGTCCTTCCCTTTACATTGTAAGCAGCACTGCTTTCTTCTCAAGAAGATATGAAAACAGAGAAGTATA